TGCTGGTGTAATTTTTCTACCAACCCGCTTGTGAAGCTTGATTAAGTTAGGACCTATACTAGCAAACCTTGCTTTTTGTGTAGCCAAAGCTTTTGATGACTACTCAAGAGATCTAGTGAGGTTAGAGAGTATAGCTTTATAGAGGGACACTTTTCCTTTCCTTGCTTTTGAAACTCTTCAACTCCAATGTTTGCTCTTAGAGAGATTAATTGTTAATGTAAGTGCAGTATTATCAAGTGGTTGATCCTAGATAAAATGCAATATTTGAATGTGACAAGAAAAGAAAATGAGAGAAAACTTATATGGAGAATATAGTGGCCCCACTAAAACATTGGAACTTCCCACCATGCAAGCTAGCATTTCATTTGTGGAAGGTGTTCAATTGGCACTTTGCCTCCTTCATCATTTGCCATTGCCTTGTGCTCCTCTTTAGTTGGTGCATCCATCCATTCCCGACAAATTTGCTTGAACTCGTGATGGAAGTTAGACTTGATCAGCCTGGAACTTGTTAGAATTAGCAAAGTCCATTCGTTGTACAAGGTCCAAATTAGAAGTAGGACCAAGGGTGGATATCTTAAAGATGAAAGGGCATTGACTGTTCGAAATCACTTGGCCAACAAACAAGTTCCCATGAATAAACTCATAGGGATATTTTATTTTTAACTCCAAAATCATATCCAACCTAGATTGAAGATTTCCATCTCGCCTTTCTCGCATCTAGTTCTTTATTTTGCCAAAAAAAGAGTGTTTCTAGTGACAAGTAGAGTTAAGTATTAATCTTATATCTGTTTAAATTTGTCACAAGTTTTATATTTCGAAGAAAGTCCTTCAAGCTGTTCTTTGTGAACTCTTTTTTACTATTAACTTATAGTAACATATCCACCACATATTCCTTTAGTGCAGACTATTGAACACACTTTGGAGTTTTGGCATTTTTCTTCCCAGCCTCTGTAATAACAACAACCTTCAAATTGCGAAAAGAATCATGACGGGTTCCTTCCTCTATTCCGTGTTGGTGGTATCCAACATGCACTACTACCTGACTAAATATCCATCCCGTAGAAGAAAATAATACATTTTTGCATCACAATATACTTGACATACAAGTGTTGCCCCACATTTGCGACATCTAAACCCTGTAGGAACCTCATCACGCCTAGGGGGATTGATCACTGAGCCTTCTAAGAAACACATATTCTTGCTATGATCAGAAAATGCATTTTTCAACAACACACTAAAGCTGTCCACCACAATGGACTATAGACATAGATCCATTGAAATGGGAGAAGTGGGTCAGCTTTACCCTATACCAATTATGTGGATGAAGACGGATCTTCATGCCCCTCTTCCTGCTTGACAAACTGGAAAATGGAAATTTGAAGAATATATTTCCATTATAAGAAGATGGAAGCTCCTCACCTCTCATGTATTGAAACTCCTTCAATTCCAACTGTAATGATTGAGATTTCTGAAATGCTTTATCCACCACTTCAAAAACTGATCCAAAATGAATGCACCTACTTGTTTGGGAAGCTATGTGTAAGCCATAAATTTTTCCTTTCCAATTTGCCAGCTTACCTCGTCTATTCGACTAACACTGCCTTGGCTTGTGCTAAGTTCCCTCGCCAACGTTCCCACCAATTGTACTAGATCCTACTTGGTCCTACTTGGTTTCAGCTACTCACTGCACGAGTAACGGAGTGTTAGCCATCCATCCACGGATTCCCAAATCTCTCCCAATCCCCCCGTCCCTGGGTTAGACTGGACTTAAGGTTCGGCTACACTCCCCGCAGGCACAAGCAGCCAAGCACACCAAGCCTCCAGGTTCCTAACACCCCTTGGTACAACAAAACTTGATCATGGGACCCTCTAAATCCCAAGCCTTGGGTGCAACATTTGCTTTGGGACATCGGGGCGAAACACCATGGCCTAACGGCCCGGTATGGGTACCTCTACCCCCCCACTTCCATCCCGAAGGGAAGGCCTAAGGCTCTAGGAAGGGTGAGGACTAATGAGCCACAAGGTACTCAAGTAGGGCACCACTCCACATGAGCTGGGAGCACCACAGTTGGTTTCCCTTTCGGGAGTGAGAGCTGCTCTTGAGCACTTCCCTGGGTGGCCCCTTCGGCACCACCCAAGCCCATGCTCACTCCCACCCAAGGCCCCTTGGCCCCAGTCTCAACCTTAAGTTAGTTTGAAAGTACCACTGGAAAGTTCCTTCAAGACCGGTTCCTGGACCTCACTATCCCTACTATACTTTTGGAACCCCCTGCAGCCCCCCCTCTTAGGAGATGTACGTTTTGGGCTTTCACCCCTTGACCCGTATTAGTATTTGGACTTAGTCTCAGATTCGATCTCAAACTCGATCTCGGACCCGACTTCGGACTCGGTCTCAAACTCGATCTCAGACCCGATCTCGGACTCGACTTCGGACTCGACCTCGGACTCGGTCTTGGACCCGATTTGGATCTCGGACTCTGTCTCGAACTCGGTCTCGAACTCGGTCTCCGATTCGGCCTCGTCTCGATCCCGGACTCTATCTCGAACTCGGTCTCAGAGTCGGTCTTGGACTCGATCTTCGACTCGGTCCCATCCGATGAACTCTTTGTCATTTCGGTCATGCTTTCAGGGATCCTTTAGCCTATGACATCTCGGGGAGTCGGTTCTTTACACTATGTTGGGAAGCTCATCTTCTTCACTTTCATCACTGGAGAGAATAACAACTTCATCCTTCACTCCTTGCACAGTTGGCTATGAAACTGATGCACTCTCCTTTATTCGCTTCGGAGATCTTGTAACTAGAATCTTCTGACTTGTATATCTATCAAGATCCCACTGAATCCCATTTTCTCCCATGCCACTGTCAAGAAGAATGGATTTTTCTATCTGATTACCCTTATCGCAACATACATTCTCCAAACTAATTGATCCTGGTTTCAGCTTGCATTTTCTATAGAAGAAGCTCTCTCCTATAACACTATTAGAGAAAAAAATTGGAGGCTCTTGATCAAACTTCAAGTAGAATTCTCTCATATCTTCTCCTTGCTTGAGCACTTAGAAAAAATTTGGGGAGAAATTGACAAGAAAGAACAAAGATATTCTTCTATATTGTGAGCTTTAATTAGTTGTGTCCTTGCAAAGGACAAGTTAATTATTTTATTAAAATATACAACTGTTTAGAATCTAGAGATATATGAGAATCTTAAAGAGCCACCCATATTAATTGTATAATTGATTGTGAGAAGAATAATACTGTTGAAATGAATAGGGTTATGAGTGAGAGGTGCCAATTAATTATGAGAAATAACTACGCATGAACCAACCTTTCCGAGCTTGACTCTCTTTCACTTGTTACAAAAAAATGAAACTCTTTTGAAGGAAAAGAGCATAGAGATAAGAGGGAGAACAAGTGATCAATGCTACAACTCTCGTGATTAATCAGCACCTCTCACTCATAACCCCATTCATTTCAATAGTATTATTCCTCTCATAATCAATTACACATATTTTAATATCTAAAGTATTGAATGATTGTCTCCTTGGAAAGAACATGTGAAATCTATGTTTATAGTGGATTTGTCTAATAAATATATCCTACTATTTGCAAAATTAAAGTACTATTAAAAAATTGACACATCACTAGAATCTAGAAAGCAATTGCTATTAAAGAGAATGAAAATCATGACCATTGATCGTGACCATTGATCATGACCATTGATTGTGATTGTTAATTTTTAGGGTTTTATATTTGAGCAAGGAAGGGCAAGAGAAAAATGCTTGAATCTCACAATGTGCTTCAAGATGCTTCTCAATCAGAATGCTAGATGCTTTTATAGACACTAGAAAGACACTCCTCAATCAAGGTATGTCTCTCTCTGCTACTTTTCCATCTCCCCATCTTTTGCTCCTAGCTCATGAGCAACTAGTATCATCATACTCATATATTTAAACGAAAGAGCCGGTATAATAATAGCATATGCTGGCGTCACTTATTCTGGGCATATGCCAAAATCTAACGGCTGAGATTAAACAATGGGGAGTCGTGACTTTTGGGATCATAAAAACTTTTAATTGTCTTTTAGGGCGCGTGAGCACGAGGAGAGAGCGTCGATCATCGCTTGTGGGAAGGTACTCTCTCTCTCTCTCTCTCTCTCTCTGTCTCTGTGTGTGTGTGTGTGTTTGATGCGGTCTTCATTGCAGAGCACCTCAGAGCTACAGTCAGCTGTACGTGAAGATCTGAAGCTGCTACCGATTGAAAAGCTCAGGAAACCGTTGTCAATGGCCATGCGCCGGAAAAATGACAGTCTTTTTTCGAGACTCTCAAGCCCCTATTTGTTCCAGGTTCTCGAGGCTGGAACCACGACTAGAATCAAGGTTTTTCACTCTCTTGCTTTTCGAGGCTTAAAGTTCCTGTTTGTGCCAGGTGCTCGAGGCTGGAACCAAGAGAAAAAAAAGAAATTTTCGAGCAAGCCATCCCAAAGTCCGACACCTTTGGGACATAGAACTTCCCAGGTCGCGGGTACTTCAGCAAAACTCCCTGTACTTCTCCTCGGGACAGCCACAGCTCCACGGCCGTCGGGTCTAAGCTCTATTTTTTTCGAGTCTCTCAAGCCCCTGTTTGTTCCAGGTTCTCGAGGCTGGA